ATATATATATATATATATATATGTATGTATGTATGTATGAGTCAAGATTTGTTATCACTGGATATAAGTGTAAATACTTACATCAATTCTTATATCTTTAATATTTTTTTATTTAATGCAAATTTAATTTATTTAACCATTAAATTATGTTATATTATAGTCAAAATCATTTATATTAAATTTCACATGATTGCAAAATTATTTAATAGTTTATCACATTATTTTATTTTATAATATCATATTTAAAATGTGTAAATATCCATTTTTAGAAAACATATATAGAAAAGTTAAAAACATGAAATTTGATAATTGATATACATGATCTTAAGTATAATATTACATGATTTAACGGTTGGATTAATTAAATTTGTATTATACAAAAAAATTAAAGATATAAGATTTTGTATAAATATTTAGATTTACATTGGTGTGAATAAACCCTAACTCATTTTTTTTATTATATATAATCAATCATGTTCATATACACTAAAGTAAAAAAAATAAGATGTCATGTATTTTTCAAAATAAAATAAGAAACTAATAATAAATTCTTAAATATGTATAGTCTAAGGTAATTTTTGGAAATATGATGGAGAGAAAGAGTAGTTTAAAATGCATACTTTGAAAAGTGGTAACACAATCAAAGTTATAAAAAAAAAATATGTATATCAAATGAGTAATTTCTTTGATCAATTTGTATATATTAAACATAAGAACGAAAATATTTTTAAAATTTTTTTTAGAAGAAATGTTTTTAGTAATTTTTATTTATTATATTTTTTATGAATTAAATTTTAATATTTTCAAAATAAATTCAATGAGAAAATTATTAGAGATTCTTTTAACTTTTTATCTATTTTAATTTTTATTTATTATATTTATCTAAAAATAAATTTTTAACAATTAATAATAATTTTATGCCACAAAAATTATTTATTAATTAAATTTTAATATTTTAAAATAAATTAGTAAATAAAAGTAATTTTGGATTATTATATAAATTAATTATTATAAATATAAAATATAATTTATATATTTAAAATTATTTACTTATACAAAATTTAAAAAATGTAATTTATACATTTAAATATAACATTTATTATATATATAATTTATTATAATAAACATTAAATTTGTGTAACCATGTACATTGTATAGACTAAAATACTAATTAATAGTATAACACTTGTAGAAGAAAAAATTTAATATGTAAAACCTACTTTTATTTTTACTTAATTCTTCACAATTTTTTTACTAAACAATACCATTTTTACTGACAAACTCGTAAATTAATTGATATATATGATTTCAATTTAATTAATAATCTTGAATTTAAATATTATATATTTAACTATATTCAATACTTGTTCAAAGTATTTTGTTCTATATAATATTACTATCTAAATATAATTAAGTCCAGTAAAAAATATATATAATTTTTAAAAAGAATTAGATGTCTAAAATTATTTATTTTAAAATAAAAGATAATAATACACATAATAATTTATACAGTATTATTATTAATGATACTTTTACATTTATTAATGACAGAAAAAATAAATATAAAATAAAAGTATGAATTATCGTACACATTTATGAAAATAAAATATAATGAGAGAAGCGATGAAGAAAATAGTGGATGGAAGGGAGAAGAAGAGAAGGTGACTTGATTGCGGAAGGTTGTTCATTCATTGTTTTTGTTGTTGCTCCGACATCAAACCAAACAACCTTTGCCTTTATCTTAGCTTTCCCTCTTCCCAGGCCCTTCCATTCTTCCTACCAATATGTATGTTTTTCTTTTTTCTTTCTTATAAAAAATAAATAAATTAGAAATCTGGCTAGATCGTTTCAGATCAAAAACATAGATAACAAAATGTGTTTGTTTTGTTTTATCACCTTGTCGATCTTATCTTGAATTTACTTTGCAGAGATTCTTGAATCATCTTCTTACGTTTCTTACACCGAAGTCCGGACCAAACAATTGTGTCATTCCTCTTTTAAACAGGTTCAGCTTTTAACATTTATCATTTCTGTATTTTTTATTTAATTTCAAAATAACACTACCTCTTTTTTTTTTTTTTTTTTTTTCTTGTTACCTTTCTTATAGAAATTCAAGGCATCATTATCTTTCAACCACTGTAATTTAATTGGGAATAGTAGACAAACAAGCTTTTCTGCTGTTGTGATTTACTTTTGAGCCTACAAATTGGGAAAATTATAAATCGGTCAGCACAATTTTGATCCTTTTGGTATTATATCCATATCCCACTTCACCCCTGTGCTGTGCATACTCTCATCCTTATCCAAATCCCTCAGCTTATGAAATTTTTTTATTTCTATATACTTGCTTTGATTATAACTTCTATAGTTGAGACAAATGAATTTTCCAACTTTATTTGGTTGAAACAAGGTGACTTTGTTATTGTTGTGGGTTAAAGGGGATGTGACAAGATAATGACCTCAACTGTGTCTAACTTTGAGTTTTGTGATCAGTATCGGAATTAAAGGGTTAAACATGAATCAAGCCAGTAGTTATTTTCTGATGTCCTTTATCCTATCCACGTTATGCCTTAGCTATGGACTTCATGATTTTCACTTTTATTATAGTTAGATGCTTGGTCCCTTTACACTTGAGCCATGTATGAATCAAATTAAAAACAAAATTTGATACCAAATTCTTTGTTATTAATCAATGGTTCTGAGATCGTTGGGATTTCTGCCTCTTCAAATTTAGCCAGCGTACTAAAAACATTAAAATTTACATTCCAAAACAGTACCTGAATTTTAGCTAATTGAGATATACTCTTTGACACACTTTTTATTGTTGGGTGAGTGAATTTCATGAATCCCAGGTAAAGAGTGGGTCCATTTTTTTTTAGTGGTATCCAGATGAAACTTATCTAATAACTATGAAGTCTAGATATTTAGTATGACACGAAATGAATGCAAGGATAAGACAATTTTTTTTTTTACATTTAGAATACAATATGTTTTGGATACGGTAATAAAATTCTATAGAAAAATTTATATAAATGTAGAATATTGGTAAAAAAAAAGAGACATTAATTTTTCCCCATTAATTTACAACTATGATGATTATAATTTACATAAAAGATATTTGTGATCATAACAATAATAAATATAATTTTTGTTCATGTCAAGTAAACAATATTAATAAAAGCATTTTTGGTAGATTTTAAAACTAATATTGGCTCTATACAATAGCCTATGACTTAAAATCATCATTACAAAATTAATGTCTAATGATAATTTATCACTCTCTTCTTCCTTGTTATCATCATCTAGAAAAAAAACATAGTTTCAAAATTTGTTACCAATTTAAGAAGTGTAACACCATTGTCAAGTGGATGATGTATATCTCTACCAATGTCCCACAACCTAGGCTCTCCTTTCTATATCCTTCATCTTTCATAGACAAAAGTTGAAAGTTGAAATGCACATAAACCAATCTTCTACCCTTTTGGATTCATTTTGTTTTTCCTTCAAAGAATGAATAAAGGAGTATGTACCCCAATTCCTTTTACAATATGGAAAAAAACATGATTGTACAAAAAGCTTAAGACAAATTTTTTGGATACTTTCAGATACATAGAGTCTTGTTTGACATTAGTCTAGCTTTTAGCTTGTTTTAAACTTTCCACCCCGTTTGCCATGGTCATATTGGGTTTCCTAATCTCTATCTTAAACTATTCATCCTCCATCTAATATGGCCTTGGATGTTGTGCTTATGCAATGAAAATATACAATATGAAATGCATAGCTCTTAGGGGGAATTAGTATAATAAATCCAACTCTCAAGAAATGAATATGACAATGAGAAGTCCCTTCCTGTATTGAATTTATTCAAGAGTGGTTTTCTGCTTGATTAAGAATTTCATAACGCTTGTTCTGTAGCAACATTAAGATTTTTTTGTTGTTGATTTTCTAATATTTCAGGTGCTAGACTTCTAGGAAAATCAGATGCATTCTGGTAAATTTTCCCTTACACCCAAGAATGAAGTAAAGGACTTAACAAGTTCAAGTCTTCCCAGTTACAAACATAGCAGTCTTCTGGATCCCATAGACGTTTCTTCATCTTCCGATGATGAAAATGACTTTCCTAATGCTGATGTGTCTAATCAGTTAGTCCTTTATGATTCTGTGGCAAATGGAAACAATGCAGTCGAACTTGTGCCTGATCCTCTTCGGTGTGTACCTCCATTGCTTCCAAGAAGAAAACCTTCACATTCAGTTTCTAGTGTTTTGCCATCAGTTGGTGCTTTCACTGTTCAATGTGCATCCTGCTTTAAATGGAGGTTGATTCCAACAAAGGAAAAATATGAAGAAATTCGTGAACATATCCTTGAACAGCCTTTTTTTTGTCAAACAGCTCGTGAGTGGCGACCTGATGTATCTTGTGATGATCCAGAGGATATTTCTCAGGATGGCAGCAGGATTTGGGCTATTGATAAGCCAAACATTGCACAGCCTCCGGCTGGATGGCAGCGACTGCTACGGATCAGAGGTGAAGGATGCTCCAAATTTGCAGATATGTATGCATCTATTATTTGTCCTTTGTTTTTATTTGTTATTGGAATAGAATCACCCTTGTGCAATGATACAATACTTATGCTCCCCCATCCATTGATGAAATTTTTGGGTTAGGAATCAATAATTAATTTGTTGTTATTCTGATATTTTAACATTTCAGATATTATGTAGCACCATCAGGCAAGAGATTGCGCTCAATGGTAGAGATCCAGAAGTATGTTCCTGCAGCTTTAGTTTCAGTATCTTTGCAATGTTACCTTGCCTTTTCTAAATTATTGTTAATTTGTTGTTGTTATTATTATTATTATTATTATTATTTAACATTGGCTTCCATTATTCTTATAATTTGCTCGTGGTGCCTGTGTGTTTTAAGGTTCTTGACGGATCATCCTGAGTATACAAGAGATGGGGTAACAATGAAACAGTTCTCATTTCAAATACCAAAGCCATTACAAGAAAACTATGTGAGGAAGCGCACCGCTAGACTTACATCTTCATATGAAGTCAGTGGACCTATTGAACCTGCACAAGGTACATATATTTTATAAGAAATTAGAAGCAGGGATTCAAATGCTAGGTTTTAAACTTGATGCACCAAAATTGATTGATATAGATATTTTGCATTAAGGTGAAAAGGTGTAATTTATCCTTCAAAATATTATTGTAGAGATAAATGCTTAAATTTTTATAGAACTTTCATGTCTTTTTCTACATGTTCCTATTTCTAATTTTTCAGTTCCTCTGGTGTTGTTAGGCCCTCATGTGAGCAAGTATCGTATTTTGCAATTTGTTCTGTATTTTTTTAGATGAAGTATGATTCTTGTGCTGCTAATGATCTGAAAGACATGGACTTCTCAAATGGTTTAGAATGCAGCACAAGAAGTCTTTCAACCTAGCAACCTATTTTTGAATGAAGCATGTAAATACTATGGATTTTGGTGCATTGTTATAACGATGATATGCATGATGCAGTGAGTCCTCTAGCATGGACAGGTCCAGAAGGCCGTGCCTATCCATATGCAGGAAGACTGGGGCTTCCTGCTCCATACATGGGATCACACGAGCTTGACCCTATCAGTATGAGCCGTCCTGCAAAGAAGCAAGCAACTCAGAGCTCCTTTCAGAATGGTCCTCTGTTAAAGCAGAAAGACCCTGATCAAATCTCTTAATGTCCTTTTTGGTCAGTCAACCTCTTTTATGTTACTTTTGTGTAGTCGTTTGCATCTTTCTTACAAATAGAGTTTATCCTTTTGGGGTCAGAAAAGCGAACTGTCGAAAAGGAACTGCTAAAGAAGATGAAAATTATACCTCTTGATAGGACATTTGATGTGTATTATCGGAAAACAGTTTAGAGAAGGTGTCATGACATATCAGATTCGGAAAGCAATTGATTTGTATATTGCATTCTTGGCTCACTTGTCCTAGCGTTTCAAGTCTCCTAGAATTAGTTATTGAGGAGATTAACATCTTCTTGGTATTCCTAGTAAAATTGTATTTTGCATCAGTGGAATTTTCTTTAAGTTGGGAGAAACTTTTATACAAAAAAAGGGTGCTTGCCCCATGAGATCGTGTTATGGACTTATGTAATATGCCCCCAAGAGGCTTATTAGTTTGTAAGTTGATGGTGTTTGTTCGTAATTTGGGCTTCTTTTACGCTTTTTGTTTTTGTTTTTTTTCCACTATTGTTTGATTGAGATCTTACGCAAGAAGGAAAAAAGAGTTTTTTTTTTAAAATTTTTTTTTATAACGATTACAATTATAACGGTGATGCATTAGCTGTCGTGAAAAAGGATGGCAATAATAATGATGATAACAAGGTGGGCATGTGATGATGATAATTTTGAGGACCAAGCATCACACTTAGGAGAACAAGGGTTCTGTAGACTCTCGTATCTCGTATATTGCCAAACAAAGGGAATGTCATATATTTTGGTTAGGCAATTTGTGGTCCATGATGGTTTCAATATGATCCGCTGGATTTGAATGAATGGTTAGGATGAAGTTATTACTTGTTTTAACCTGTAAAACCAGTTAATACTAATAAGTATAGCGATATTGCTAATTTATCCCCTATAAACAGTGCATTTTATTTGTGTTTGATCTATGTTAGAATTGGTGAGGATCAGTGAACTAACGATGGTGTCAGTCTGGAGCCATAAGTTAAACTTTTAGTACTCACCAATTGCCAAATGACTTATTTTTGGCTTTCCATCATTTATTGTTGCTACATCACAAGTTTAGTATGGATGGTTTTATCACATGAATTTGTCAAACATGTTGAATGGGGTTGGTACAATCTAATAAGGAACTTTCTCGTCTACCACACTATTGTTCTATTCTGTCTTCCTTTGAAGACTATTGCGTGTAGTGTACCATTATTAGATATAGATTCTATTTAAATACAAAGTTAAAAGACTATCGATAATACAATTTTTTTTTTAAAAAAATTTAAAAATATTTTTATCTTGTATTCAAACATGTTGATAACATAGCTGATAGTGGCTTTAATTAAATTACTTGGAACATCCCTCCTAAATGGTGTCCTCACGTCTTTAACATCAATGACAGACAAAATGATTGTATGGTCACATGGTGCTGCTTTAGATAGAAAATCTAAGCATGTTGACCCAACCTTGGAAGTGATTGATAAAAAAAAAAATAGTACATAGGAGAAATGGACTATTCTCGGTGGTTGGTGCTATGTTAAAGCCTAATGTTTTGAGGTTGGGAACATTTGTAATTTGTAAACTTGTAGCTAGGCTCACTAAAACCTATTTTTCATATAAACACATTTTTATAGTATATGAAAAAATGAGACACAAAAAAAAATTAAATTAATCCAAAACTAATAAAGTTAAAAATATATTAAATTATTAAGATGTTTCCCTCTAAAAATAAAGAATGTGTTTTGAAAATAAAATCATGAAAAATAATCAAATATTACTATTTCATAAAAACATAATTGTATAAGTATGATTGAGAATATAATTTTTTAAAATTTCTCTATGCACATACAAGTTTGGCTTGAATTGGATCAAATGCATTTTAAAATTAGAATTCAAATTTGATCCAAATCGACAATAAAAATTAACTTCTGCAGTTTTTTTTTTATTTTTCAAGTTTTTGGTTTGGTTTTTGTGATTTATTTTATTAGATTGACTTATAAACACTCCTAAACAATAATTACAATCTTAACACAATTTTAAGAACATCCATGTCAACTTCTAATAAAAAGCAACATTTAGAGTAATAGTGCCATTTGCAATCAGTCGGAACTTAAGACAAATTTTATATGTTTGTACACATGAAATCTAACTGAGTAGATGAACATCAACTAATTTTTTAAGTCACCCTTTACATATATGCTTAACATCTTTATCCGTTATCATTTTTCTGTAGATGTCTTTTATTTAAAAGAAGAGAAAAAAACTAATCTATCGTGTACAAATCATATAATCAAACATTAAAATTGGAAATTTTGCTAATATCTTTTCACACATAAATATAAAATTGAATCCAGGGCCGTAAATCTGGCTATCCTTTTCAACCCAAATGATCAACGGGTCACTTTTGTTGTTTAGTTTTTTAAAGGGCCATTTCATTTTCGAAACCTTTTTGTGTGGTAATATTTGAAACATACTTAGTAATAGTGATAATACTAATTAATTTAGATGGTGATATCTTACTCAATTGATAATGTCTCTTAGATTCTGCAGGACATGAAAGTAAATATGGCTTTTTATTAAAAATTGTAAAAGAGTCCCTGCTTTCTGTGTAATCTGTTCTAGTCTTAAAAACAATTACATACAATGATACAACTACCTAGGAATAAAGTACGCATAGTCATTTGAATGCAAATCACTTATTCCCTTGGTGTCTCTTTCCATGCCTCTTCAATAAAATAAAAAGCGACATTTCAATAATTTCCATGTCTCCTAAATAAAATAACGACATTTCTATATATAAAACAAATGGGTATAGAGAAGGAAGATTTCTATTTAAGTCACTTTGAATTTTTATTTCTAAAAATCAATTATTTTTCATTCTTTGCTATTTTTCTCCTTCCTATCATCTAATCGTACCATTATGGACCGAGAAGAAGTACCCTCATTTGCAATTGCATTTGGAAAATATTGCACATACATTGTGTTAAGTAAAGTTTTGTGAAGGTAAATTTAGGATTCAAGTTATGGGTTTGTTAATGATATATATCTCCTTTTTTTTTTAATAAGTATACCTCTTTTATTTTTTTTTTAAAATCTTAAAATATTTATATTTTTTTAAAATTTTTTTTTTTTAATTTTATATCTCTAATTTTTAATTTACTATTTTTTTTAACATACCTCATTTCTTCTCTTTTTCGGTTTTCACATGCACAATCATGTCTTTTTCTAATTTCTCACCTATTTTAGTGGGTAATTTTAGTTTTTTTAATTTTTATATTACTCTCTTATTTTCTCACATCTTTATCTTTTTCACATGCACCAAAATCATAGAAATGGTAGGCAATAACATTGTAGGTATGTGTAGTTTCCTTGACAATTTCTATCAAACTAGACACACATTTTTTTTCTAACACTTCCTTTCCTTTCACCCCTCCAAAAATCTTAACATTAAGTTTAGTGTGATAAAAAAAATATTTTCACTATTCTAGAGTACTATGAGGATAGTGAAATCAGTGAAAAAATTATAAAAAAAAAAAAAGAAGGGAAAAAGAATAGTGTAAAACTAAAAAAATTAAAATTACCTATCAAAATAAGTGGGGGTAAAGAAAAATTAAGGAAGTGCATGTGAAAATAAGGATAAAAGGTATGTAAAAAAAAGTGTTAAATTAAATATTAGGAATGTAAAATTAAAAAATTAAAAATAATAAAAATTAAGAATATTTTAAAATTTTAAAATTTTTTTAGAAAAGGGGGTAGACTTATAAAAAAAAAAAGGTGTATATATCATGATCCTACAGTTAATTGGGTGACTATTGGACTATAACAAGGAAATGCCATTGCCAGCTGACCTTTGTGGGCATTTGAAAGTGCAACAAGGCCCAAAATATTTGGCTCCATATGTTCATTGTTTATATGGCAGTCCTTTTTTTTTTTTAATCTATTATGGAGGTATAATTCCTTTCCTTCAAACTAGAGTAAATTAATATTTTTAGTTACGGTTTCATATTCAAATTAATCGAATCTTAATTTTTATTAAAAAATACAAATATTGATAAGTTTTGATGTTTAGCATAGTAGTTGGTTGGTTTGCATTTAGTAGTCATGGATGACGGATACAATGATGGTGAGAATTTGGTAGTAACCTTATTTTGGGGTCACTTTCGGCATCAATTATTGGGTGTTCATGGATATGCCCTAGCCTGTCTTTGTGGTTGTGGGAACAAATTCCATTGTCATACTCATACTCATTCATACATACCATGTGCACTCTATTAAATGATCTTTGGCACTTATCTCCTCCCGTAGGATACTGCATTTGCATATGGTAGAGGACAGCTTTTAATAAAAGAATTTGTTTGGTATATATTAAATAATCATTTTAAGTGTTTTTTAATTAATGGGTGGTTGGTTTGGTTTAAGTAGCACATATTTCATTTTACTTATTAAGGTGTTTAACAGAATATGTTAGTTGCTGTAAATTCTTAATGTCAAATTGAGATGAATACAAAACAATTATTTTACTTAAATAAAATTGCAATCAAGCTTTGTATATGGGAAAATCTAAATTAGGAGATCTAGTTGGCTTGAACAAGAAAAAAGTATATATTTTTTTTAACAAGCATTCAAAAAATTTAGTTAAAAAACTGAATGAATATTTTAAATTATTTCCAATCTTACTTTATGTTATTTTCCATGGTTAAATTATTATATAATTTTATTAAATTTTGAAACAAATTCACAGCTCGCTAACATCCTTTAAGACTTTATTAATTTTTGTTAAACCACAGGAAAATATTAAAAACAAAATAAACTATAGGTAAATGATAGAAAATATATTATTAAATGAATATCTGTTTTGTTTGAGTTTTTTTTCAGCAGGCTTCCATATTATTATTTTTTGTCCAAAATATTAGATATTTAGAAGCCCTATTAGAATTTTTGTTAACAAATTATCGCGATGCTTACTTTTTAATTTATAAATTTCAACTCGAAATTTTGCTTAAATAAAATGAAGTTCCATATTATTTATATACTCAACAAGCGTTGGTATAAATATCTATAGTTTAGTGAAAATTAATAACCGATAGTATATAAAAGTTTATTTAAAAGAATGAAGATTTTATTATAAAAAAATTGAGTTATAAAGGCGTATTTAAAATTTGATAAAGTTATAATGTTTTATGAAATAATTAAAATTTTAATAATTGTAAGTTTCTATGCTTATGGTGGGGGCTTGTGGCGCACTTGTTTTTATCTTGCTTTTATGTCACCTTGGTTTGGTACATGCATTGCATTTTGATTGACAGATTTAATATCATATTCTTATTAATTATCTTCTTCTGTTCAAATAGGTGCTATTTTTTTTTAAAAACATTATTAAAGCTCAAGAACATAATTTGGAGGGTATGCCCATTGACACAATTCCATGAGTCGTTCTCAGTGGAGCAGTGTGCGAGTTTATCAGCCACTAGG